TGCTGCACGGATCGGCGCGGAGGAGGAGAGAGCTGGCAGGAGCTGCAGGAGAGGTAAGTAACAGCTCTGCCAGCCCCCAGTCTGTATTATGACAATGTAAGTTGCCATAATACAGACACTGACTCGAGTATAAGCCGAGTTGGGGGTTTTCAGCACAAAAAATGTGCTGAAAAACTCGGCTTATACTCGAGTATATACGGTACATTATTAATACACATTATTAGACATAGACAGGTAAATGTATCTACAAAAATTACCACCTTTAAGTATATTGTTATGTGAAGAGAGCCACCTAGTGGTGAAATCAGATGTACTGCTGTCTGTGACTGTCAAAACATTTCTTACAAAAATAAACGTATGTTTTCATTGTGTCTGAGTCTGTGGTGTAATTTGTAAATATAATGGGAGATTTATTTACTAAAGCTGAAATTGAATTTTTTTAAGCCAGATTAGCTGAATGTGAAATACAAGCTGAAAAAATGCTAGATTGCAGAATACGTCTGCTATCTTGATCTAACAAAAGGTGGAATCCCCACTCTTATCTGGTCCTGGTGTATCCTACTCCAATGGTAAAACATTTTACTCAACTACACACGCTGCATGGAGACACTGAACTTTCCCCATAGATTTAATGCATGTCTATGAGGGGGTGGTGATTGGCCAGGGTGACATTTAGCTCCGTCCCACCTCCTTGGCTGAGAGATCATCAAAATTGACAATCTCAACCAACCCAATATTTTCCTATGGGCAGAATATGGCAACTTGGCTAAGGTTTGCAAAGTTGCATCTGAAAAAAACACAAGACATCTGGAACAATGTCCTATGGACAGACAAGACCAAAGTAGAGATTTTGGCCATAATGCACAGCGCACTGCTTGGCTCATCCCAAACACAGCATTTGAACACAAACACCTCATACCAACTGTTCAGCACGGTCGTGGAGGGTTGATTATATGGGCTTGTTTTGCAGCCACATTAACTGGCAACCTTGCAGGTATTAAGTTGTACATGAACCCCTGTATACCAAAGTATTCTAGAGTGCAACATGAGGCCATCTGTACAACAGTTAAAACAGGGCTGTAATTGGGTCATGGATATTGCTGCTAAAGTTGGTTCTACAAGCTAATGAATCATAAGGTGTACAAAGTTTTTTCACACATGGCTTCTCCATTTTGGCTATATTTTTGGTAAATAAATCATGACAGTGTAATATGTCATGTGTGGTTGTCCATCTGAGGCAGTGCTGGCTCTAGACTTTGTGAGGAATTTGGCGAAACTCAAACGTGAGGTCCTCACTAACGCCTAAAGTGAAAAATTAGGGGTTGCATTGTGTGTGTATAAGGTGCGGTAGTTATATTGAAGGGTGGGCTTGCAGTCTCTGTATTCAGTGGTCAGAGGCTTGCAGTATCATGGCTTCCTATGCTGCTGCATTGGGAGCTTTATGATGGTAGTTGGAATAATTTGCAAATACAATTAATTTGCAATAAACAAAATTTCATTTACAATTATGATTTTTTTATTCTAGCTAAAAAAGGAGATTCCTCTGATTTTTTATTTTAGTTCCAAGAATTTTTATTTACGTAAGGTTATACATAGAAATTGGCGTATCTTAAAAGAAGATCAAGATATCCATTCTTTTCTAGGGAATAAACCAAGATTTATATTTAGAGGAGTGAAACATATTAAACAAATGTAACTAAAATTTGTATAAATGTTCCCTAAAAAAAAAATTACTATCAGAGCTTGGGACACTGTGTTGAAAGATGTGGGTCTGTCCTCTGGGTGGTCACGGGCTATGCCGTTATCTATGCTAAAATAGAATTTTCCTCAAATTGATTTTGAACATTGGCATTCCTATTTAATTCAAAATGTTGATGCTTTCTTTTAGAGCAATTCTTTGATGTCTTTTGGAATATTGAAAGAAAAAATTAGCCTACCTGATAATCTACAGACAGAATACGAATGAATTCTTAATAAATTGACAAAAAAAAATTCTATTCCTAATTTAGATCAAATTTATAAAGAAATAGCACTAACTGATTTGGAAAAGACATATCTGGTAGAAGTGGCACTATCACACAATGTTATTATAATGCCTGGGCCCAAGCTAAAAGCAGATTTTATGCTAGCTTGGAAGACAGATATAGGGGCTCGGTACGACCTGGAGGAATGGCTCAGTTTCATTCTTACTCTAAAAGGAATAACGCAGTGTTCCAATCACTGGGAAAAGCACCTTAATAATATACAGATGGCATTTAGCGCCATATAGAATGAACAAAATGAGCACAAATTTTTCGAATCAATGCTGAAGAAATTGTGTCTTGATTTGTCCTCTTCCAGATATCCTCTGGTATTGCCCAAAGTTAACAAAATATTGGAAAGATGTTCATAAATTCATTCAGAATGTGAATCCTAACATCTCGGTATTACCCTCAGAATTGGTTTTGTTTAAACAACACTTCCCAAGTTCCCTTGAAAAAAATAGGTAAGATCATTATTGGACATATTGTCATTGCTGCCACTACACTTGTCCCCAGACACTGGAGGTCACCTGCCATTCCATCAGTTAAAGAAGATCTCAATTCTATTCTGAAGAATAAAAGTTATGAATTGGCAGGGGGGGTGGAGCTTACCTGCCGAGTGAGCCAGACGTCTATGGCGAGAGCTCCCGCATCTGAAGCCCTGATTCTGGGCATTAAGCCTGACCACCGGATCGTGCCGGCTGTGGACAACTATCCTCAAGCTCAGGAGGGGATGCTGAATCTGGGGATACCCGACATGAGGCTCCCTGCCGCTAAAATATCCAAATGGATGGAGGGGGTTTTCCCGGTCCATGCCAGCAAGGGAGGCCACAAACTCAGACGGCACAGCAGATGCTGGTGAACACTGCAGCGGCATAGAAGCAACGAGGCCCAAAATGGCGGACATGCCTGGCTTCACTACATGTGGCCCAAATCAACCGCAATCTAGCGTAGAAGGCCCCACGGCAAAATTGACAACTATGGAGACACAGGCACAACCTGCTACAAACAGCACCCATGCCACCCCACCCAGGCAGACCCAAGAGTTCTTCAACCAGCTCTGCACCAACCTTTGGATAAAGCTCTGAGGCAAGGGCTGGCCCTTCAGGCTGGCGGTGCAAGCGGCAGCAACATGGATCCGTCCGGCTACTCGACACCAACTATGTGTGTACACATCGCGAGCCCCCAAACCGTCCCCCCGAAGGAGACAACACCAGAGATCTAAGTGGCGGGTAACAGCGACATGCCTTGCGGGCGCTATCACTCACACTCCCACACATCAGAGCGAGACCACTGAACACACAAGACCTACCCATCACCCAGCAGCACCGACCAGCAAGGCACAACCCGGCAACCAAGAACTCAGGCTGGGGGCCATGAGGCTAGCCGAGATGCAGCAAGGCTTCCTGCACACAAGAGACACACACAGAGAGCCCCCTCAGAGCGCAGCAGAGATGATATCTCACCGAGACACCAACCCTGCCACTATCCACGGCCCACCCATCAGGCATCCAGAGCCGGCATCGGCTGATCAAAGCGGACTAAACCCAAGAAGGACTATTCTCCTGCAACCACAAATGCAGAAACAAGGCTTGTTTTCACCAGGCAGTCTATAACCAAGGTGCTATTTTTCCTAGCTATTATACCTCCCTACTCGGCCATTACTTAAAAGTTTTGTATACTATACGGCCCTAGCATGTTTAAACATTATGCGCTCAGACGCAGCACTCTGTTTAAATCTATTCTCACATATAGCAGATGGACATCAAAATGACCGAATAACGGCATACAAAGCAATGTTGTCTAAGCTTGTCCCATACCTTGATAAATTAATCACTGTGCCTTTAACGTAAGGATGTTAAGCGGATGCCACCTACATCATTAATCTTAATCTTAGGACTACGCACTGGCACAAGAGTGACATGTTGGCTAGACCTCAGATAGATCACAACGAACCCAGCAAATGTTTAGATAGCGTAACGGTGCCATTATGTTATATAAGAGATTAAGCTAAAATATACTCTGTTTATATCTCGACTTATATATAAAATATGTGCTAGATTCATCACATACGTCTATGCTCAACTGTTTAAAATGCGCTAGAGGAATGCCTTTGGGGTACCTCACAAGCGACTGTTATATGCTTATGCACTACAAAAATAAAGAATTAACATTTTTTTTTTATTTTTATTATGAATTGGGCATTAGACAGCCTTCTCAGCTGCGGGACAATCTTACTTATTATTGGGAAACATGGGAAAAAGATATTGAAAAGGAATATAAGCTTTAAATGATTTTCTTATGTGGAAAGTTAATGTTCACGTTGTTAATCTGCCGTAGTTATGGGACTTATTTTACTTGGACAAGATAAAAGGTACAACATACCCTTAGAATTTCTATTGATTTTTTAAAAATTTTGTTATTTTTGTATATAAATATATATTTTTTTCATAGCTATTCCATTTATAATTATTTTGAATTACTACTTATTAACAAAATTGTGTGATACAGTTATGAGCCATTATACCAGGGACAAAATACACATTTGTATTTAATAAGACCTGTTTATTGTGAAATAGTTTTTTTTATTATGTAAACCTATATTGTGTTGTACGTTCATTGAATATATATATATAGTTTAATTTGTAAGTTGTAGAAATGTTTCTAAATAAACATAATAAAAATGCTGGATTTAAAAGCTGCTCCTTTATTATTGATAATTCTTGTATCCTATTGGTATTTGATTGTTCTTGAACTTTACTGATTCATACATTTGCATAAAGTATCTGTGATGTCATAACGAGTAAACGATCAGTGGTGAAAGGCAGCAGATAGGTCACATCACTGTTGTATATCGTTGCAGCAAGTTGCAAACGTTATTGATCGGACAAATTGTAGAAAAAGACAAATAAGAAAATAACATAGCACAGGAGGTGCACCTACATTGATAGGGTTTTACAACCCATTGCGAAATTTGAGATGGAGCGCGAGAGGAAGCGCCACCAAAACAGGAGCTTTAGTTACGGAATGAAAGACCAACCACGGGAACAGTTCAACTTCCGTGATTCTTCACGCCTGATCCATCAACATCTAGCTAAAAACAGGCGATTTGACCAGAAAATGGAAAAAAGACGTCCTGTGCAAGATAAAATGGATGGATCAGAGAGGCAGAACGATCCCCAAAACTGTCAGTCCCAATGTGGAGGAGAAATGGGAAGAAGGCAAGAGAAGAGAAAGATGCAGAATGTTCACCATGCCAGGCAGGTGCCCAAAGATGACCCGCAGCTTGGGAGATCCCAACAGTATAGAGGGAATAGCACCAAGGATGGTCATTGGCATGAGGTTAAAAGCGGCAGAGGAGAACCTGGCCAAACTAAGGCCAATGAAAGCCCACTGTTTCCCAATCATAAACTCAAAAGATGCCGGGAAGGTAAACTAATTTTTTTCCTCTTCATCTACCGTTTCTGTTTGTCAATTGTGTTTTGTTAGAATTGTCGATTTTTTTTTAACTTATTGTACTGTGCTGCAAAATATGTCAGCACTATAAAACCCATTGTAATTGTTATTTAAGGTCAAGCCGAAGCCAAAGATGGGGATGGTTTCCGTCATAAAAGAAGACAAAAGGCAGATATGGAGTACAGTCCTCCCAGAATGACACTAGAGGAGCTGGATAAAAAACTGGCAGAATATGACCTTCCTACTAAAAGTCTGCTAGTTAAATCAACAGACTTCAACTATCCCCAAAATTGTCAGTCCCAATGTGGAGGACAGGTAGGAACAAGGCAAGAGAAGAGAAAGACGCAAGATGTTCCCCATGCCAGGCAGATGCCCAAAAATGACCCGCAGTTTGGGAGATCCCAACAGATTAGAGGGGATAGCACCAAGGATGGTCATTGTCCTGAAGTTAAAAGGGGCAGAGGAGAACCTGACCAAACTAAGGACAATGAAAGTCCAGTTCGCAGTCGTAAACGCAAAAGATGCTGGGAAGGTAAGCTCATATTTTCCGTTTGTCAAATGTGTTTTGTTAGAATTGTTTGTCTTTTTTTCTACCTGTTGTACTGCGCTGCAGAATATGTCAGCACTATATAAATCATTGTAATTGTTATTTAAGGTCCAGTCGAAGCCAAAGATGGGGACGGTTTCCATCAGAAAAGAAAACAGAATGCAGATATGGAGTACAGTCCTCCTAGAATGACACTAGAGGAGCTGGATAAAAAACTGGCAGAATACGACCTACCTACTCAAAGTCTGCCAGTTAAATCAACGGACTTCAACTATCCCCAAAACCGTCAGTCCCAGTTTGGGAGATCCAAACAGATTAGAGGGGATATCACCAAGGATGGTCGATGTCCTGAAGTTAAAAGGGGCAGAGTGGAAGCTGGTCAAACTAAGGCCAATGAAAGTCCAGTTCGCAGTCGTAAACGCAAAAGATGCTGGGAAGGTAAACTGATATGTTTTCCCTTCACCTACTGTTTCTGTTTGTCAAACGTGTTTTGTTAGAATTGTTTGTCTTTCTTTATACCTATTGTACTGCGCTGCAGAATATGTCAGCACTATATAAATTATTGTAATTGTTATTGAAGGTCAAGCTGAAGATGAGGACGGTTTCCAGCCCAAAAGACAACGGGTCCCAGATATGGAGTTCACTTCTCCCAGAATAACACTAGAGGAGCTGGTTAAAAAGCTGTCAGAGATACATGTTGAAAGCCGGCCAGTTAAATCAATAGACGTCAACCATCCCGGCACACAAGACTCATCTGTTGAAGATATGGAAGTCGATTAGTCGACAGTTCTGAGTTTAATGAGTAACCCTATGGGTGAAATAACCCCTATTGTGGTGAACTCGGCGAGGCAGGAAATGACGTCAGGGCGCGCGGGAAGACGGACGTCGGAGGAGGCGACGCGCGGCGCGTACGTGACGTCAGTGCGCCGAAGCGTGCTGACGTCACAAGCCCCGCCATCTTGGAGCCTGGCAAACCGGTCTAGACAGCCGGGCAGCCGGGAGGCCGGCCTGGTGAGTGCCCAAGAGTCGGGGAGGGATGGCGGCCGGTCAGCCCTGGAGGTTGGGTGATGGCGGCCAAGGCTGTGGTCGGCCAGAGGAGGCGGAGAATGGCGGCCTGCTGCGAGGTCGGCTGGGTCAGGAAGAGGAACCGGCCCTGGGTGATGAAGACAGCGCTGAGGAGCAGGAGGAACAGCTGGATGACCAGGTGCCTGGAAGCCTTCCTGTGTCTGTGGCAGCGTTTCCGAGAGACGGCACCGGAGGCGGAGCGGGTGGGGCAGCCTTGCCCACAGTCTTTATGGGAGCTCGGTTCCGAAGATTGATGGGGCTGGTGACGGAGTCGTTGTCGGCATCCTCGTGGAAGTCATACCGGGCAGTGTGGTCTAAGTGGCTCGGGTTGGTGTCGGGGGAGAGTAGCCTGCCGTCGGACTCGGGGCGCTTTGAGGTAACCTTACTGTTTTTGGAGCAATTGTTGGAGGAAGGGAGGTCATGTGCAGCAGCGGAGAAGGCCCTGTCGGCATTGTGTTTCTTGTTTAGGTTCCTGGGTTGGAGGGACATTACCAGGGAATTTAGCATTCAGAGAGCCCTGTGTGGGTGGTGACGGAGGAGGGTCCCGGATCGGAGGAGGCCTATTTCAGTGAAGCTTCTGTGGGAGCTTCTGGCGGCGTTGCGGCAGGTGTATAGTTCAGAGTATGAAGCGTTGTTGTTCAGGGTTGCTTTTTCATTGTGCTTCTTTGGGGCGTTGCGGGTCGGGGAGGTGGTGGCCGCCAGCCGTCGGGCGGAGCCACCACTGGTGTTGTCGGACGTGCGGTGGGCGGCCAGGGGTCTAGACATTAGGATTCGTAAGTCCAAGACGGATCAAAAGGGGGAAGGTGTCTGGGTACGTATTGATGCGGCGGGGGGGAGTTTTGCCCGGTGCACCTGTTTCGGAGATTTTTGGAGGTCCGCCCTGCGGCCAGGGGTTCTCTGCTGGTGCATCGGGACGGATCACCGATGACGCAATATCAATTTGGGAAGATCTTGCGTGAATCCCTGGTGGCGAGCGGCAGGAGCCCGCTAGGGTACTCAGCCCATTCCTTCCGGATTGGGGCAGCCACGCAGGCTAGTGGGATGGGATTTGCACCGACAGTGGTGCAGAGGTTGGGTCGGTGGAGTTCTGGGAGGTTTCAGTTGTATGTACGGCCACACCTATTGTAGGGTTTCAGGCTCGGGGTGAGTAGCAGTTTCTTCCCGTTCAGTTTTCTGTTTGTTCATTCTAGGTTCACTTCCACGCTACGTATGGATATTAGGGCATTCCTACATCTATTGGGCAGCGAGGAGGGCGGAGGAGCGCCCTTATGGCCGCAACCTGGGATTTTCCTATGACCAAGTGCGGGTTCGGTGGAGGGGCATTCGGGGGTTGTCATGGAGCCAGGTGTACCCGGAGTGCCGTTTCCTGAGCAGGTTTGTTCCCAGTTCGGTTATAATGGTCATTCATGCAGGGGGGAATGACCCTCTGCAGGGTCCGGACAGTGGATCTAATTCACTGCATGAAGGATGAGATCGCTCGTTGCATGGCACTGTTTCGGGATGTCACGTTGGTGTGGTCGGAGGTGATTCCTAGGCCCTGTTGGCAGCGGTTGCCTTATGCAAAAGCGCTGGAGCGCAGCAGGCGCAAGCTGAATATGACAGTGTCCAGGTTTGTGCGTCGGCTTGGGGGGTTCGTGGTCCGGCACGTGGAGTTAGAAGGGGATAACAGCAAGTTGATGCGGTCAGATGGAGTCCATTTAAGCGTAATTGGTCTTGATATCTTCAACGTAGGGCTGCAAAGCGGGATTGAAAAGGCGCTGGCGGCAGGGGGCGCGATACCGGAGGAGGGCGTTGGAGGCCGGCATCGCGGTGGCGGAATACCTGGCCAGCGCAGGGGAAGGCAACTGCCAAGTCGGATTGGGGAGTCGCAGTCTGCTTGGGCTGAAGGCGGAAGACAGACTGCTTTGGACTCTGGTAAAAAGATGTGAGATCGGTCTGGTGGAAGAATCACCCATCAGCTGACAGTTGGTATTAATGCTGGCAAAAATGTTAAATAAAGCTGTGGCTGTTGGGCAACGGATGGGTTAATGGGTCTGCAGTCATGTAGAATACGTCTGCTATTTTGATCTAACATTTGCAATGTTCTGGTCAATTGCTCCAAAATCCAAGTATATTGAATAAAGGTCATTCATTGGTTGATTGCATCAAAAAAATATTGTGTATTGGGCAAAGGATACAAAGCTGAGCTGGTAAAGTCCCGCTCAGGTGTCTCTTTCCCTCTAGGCTTCTGGGTGGTCAGCGGCATTAGGGGGTGATTCGTTTGCCCATCTTTGCTTCAGACTACCCTCTAGGGTGCTAGTGTATGGATACACGATGGAGAGGATGTTGTTTGCTAAGGCCTTGAATGCCACAGGGCCTCGCTGGAGGGCTCCCGTATTACTGCGTGGCCGGTGTCATCTTGGCTGGGTCTGGTGGTCCTGCTGGATCCAGGAAGGATTATCTCACAGAGGATTTTTGGGCAGTGGAGGAGGAGGGCGTGCTCCCTGCTGTCCCCCTGGGTTTCTTGCACATCACGGAGAGCCGCATTCATGTGACCAGCTTAACCACGCCCCCTCCCTTCAGTTTTTTTTTCAAAAGGAGTGTGTTTATATTTATTATTTTATTTAGCGCCAGCAAATTCCATAGCGCTGTACATTTAATCATTAATAGTTTTTGATAAGGTTTTACAATTTTTTTTTCAAAATATTAAAAAATATATAATACATGAAAAAATATCCACATGTAAAAAGAAGAATTGACAAGAGAATTGGAAATATTGGGCCAAAACAAAAGAGCTGGATAAATACTGATATATTATTCCTTGTCGAATCTCTACAGTTTCCAGCTTAGTAAATAAACTCCCACCATTTGATCTAATAATTTTAGTTACAAGCAGAAATGTTTTTTATTGTAAAGCACTACGGGATAAATTGGCGCTATATAAATACCAATAATAATAATAAATAATAATGTAAACTAACGGGCTACAGTGTCTGATTATAAAAAAGCTAACCTAATCTGGAAAAATACTATTTTAGAATATATTAGTTCAAGGGGACATTATATGAACCAACACAACTTTAGCTTAAGAAGCAGTTTGGGGGTATAAGATCATGCCCCATACAGTCTCACTACTCAATTCTCTGCCATTTAGGAGTTAAGTAGCTTTGCTTATACAGGCCTAGCCACACATCTCTGTATGTGACCTGCACAGACTTCCGAAACACTTCCGGTAAAGAGAGATCTAATGTTTAAACTTCCTTTAATGCACAGTCTGTTTAATCTAGAATTTCTTATCTCCTGTTCTGTTAATAGCGTTGTGGACCCTGCAGGAGCTTCCTGTGTCAGATTAAAGTTCAAGTTAAGTGGCAGGAAATAAAATTCTCTAAAGCAAATTAACATCTGATTGAAAATGAAACAATTTTTTTTTAGTAGTGGTTGTGTGAGTCACAGCCAGGGGAGGTGTGGCTAGGACTTCACATGCATAAACAAAGTGATTTAACTCCTAAATGGCAGAGATTTGAGCAGTGAGACTGCAGGGGCATGATTTATGCACCAAAACTGCTTCTTAAAGCTAAAGTGGATTTGGTGCCTGTAGTGTCCCTTTAACACGAGGGTGTTAATCCATAGGGAAAGCTTTCTCTTATTTTAAAGTTAAGAATATTTATTTTCCCTATTTTGTTACGAGTTGCTTCTAATATGTTTTTACGCCTTCGGGATCTACAGCAGAAACAGGCGTGTGAAAGGCTGATCTTGACAGACCGAGTCCTTTTTCCCCATTGTATTACGGTGTATCAAGAAGATAAATTATTATCCCATCAGCTAGTCATCATGTTGGGAAGAGAGCCTATAAATGGCTAATTGTATTAATATTTATACAATGATTTATATTTGTTCGTCAGGTATCACATTAGTTATCAGAGGTACATCTGTCTGCTGTCATAATAATTTTGCTGCCGTCTGTCATATGAATGGAAATGGATGAATTTTTAAAGATGTGCTAATGAGAATAGCATGGGAAGAATAATTATACCAACCTACACCTCTGTGGATACATGTTCGCGTAATGAACATGTGTTGCTAGGCAACTTAGAACAAGCAACCATTTACGGCCTTGGTGCGAGGTGCCAAGATAATGTACCTGTGTCTACTGAAAATAAATGATGGGTTTACTGAGAGAAGGCTACGGGCTGTGTTAGATCTGAATGGTGTGTAAGGATGAAGAAAATATCCAATATAAAAATGCGACATCAGAATATTCAGTATGAAAATATAGGACCGGTATGTATTGATCAGTATGTCATTGTTATAGATGGCACTTTGACTTATTCCCTGTTAATTGCCAGCACTCACCTCGATTTGGTTGCCCGAATTTCTTCACTTTTCACGAATGACTACTTTCCCCCAACAATATTCTAGAGACATTTGTAGATGGCTCCCGTATTACTAATGTTCCATTTCAAATATCAAAATAATAATAATAATAATAATTTCAGGTTAGTGTGATTGTTACCGGTATAAATAACAATCAATTGTGTTTACTGTAGGGAGAGTGTCTGAATGATTACTGAATGATTGCCAGCAAAGGTCTGTCAAAGGATAACGCATAATCATTTATTTTCTCATTAAAAAAACATACCAAAGAATAATGAAAAGATAACTGGTCATTTTTTTTCAATTAAGATACACTGCATATATGGCAAAATAAAAAGCTTCAATAATGGGACTAATGATCAGAGGGGCAAAGATGCAATATTTTTTGAGTCAAGAAGGATTTTATTCCCTTTTTGTGGCATAATTGGCTATATCGTCATATTAGATCATGCCCCTGCTGTTTCTGTTTATGCAGCTCTAGAAACACTTCCCCTGGCTGTGACTGACACGGCCTGCATGAAAACAAAACGGTTTCATTCTCAATAAGATGTGACTGCACAGTGTGTTTACTAGAGGTTTTTATCTCCTTCTCTGCAAATTGATCTTTAATTACATACAGGAGGCTCCTGCAGGATCTAGCAATCTATTAACAGAGTAGGCGATAAGAAATTCTAACTTAAACAAAATTTGGAATAAAGGAAGTATAAATATTAGAGCTCTCTTCACAGGAAGAGTTTTTGAAGGCCGTGTAAGTCACATGCATAGGGGTGTGGATAGGGTTCTATTAACAAAATCATGTGACTCCTAAATGACAGAGAATTGTGCAGTGAGACTGCAGGGGCATGATCTATACACCAACACTGCTTCATTAAGCTAAAGTTTTTTAGGCGACTATAGTGTCCATTTAAATAAGTTATAGTCAATCCATAAGCTTGTTTGGCCATTATGGAAACTTTAGTTCACAAACATGCAGTGCTTGATGTTTAATTTTGGTGTGTACCGACACACACAATAACACTGTACATACCTGCCCAGCACTGCAAGGAGACAAAGAGTGACACTAATTTCAGGGGTGACAGCTGAGGGCTGGATGAGACCTGAGCTGATAGAAGTGGAGAATTAAACTGATCGCAGGTGGTGATGCGAGTTGCTACAAGTGGTTACCAGATCTGGGGGTGTCCAGTGGGAGAAACTGTGCTGATGGCTGGGGGTACTAGATCTGATATCAGAGAGGAACCTGTGTTGAAGGGGGAGGGATGAGCTGATGGCTGAGGGGAACTTGTGCTGCAGGAGGGGGGCTGAGCTGATGGCTGGGGGCTGCACTGATGGCTGGGGGTAACCTGTGCTGTAGGAAGGGGGCTGAGCTGGTGGCTGATGGTAACCTGTGCTGTAGGGGGGGGCTGAGCTGATGGCAGGGGGGGAACCTGTGCTGTAGGAAGGGGCTGAGCAGGCTGATGGTAACCTGTGCTGCTGTAGGAGGGGGGCTGAGCTGGATGGCAGGGGGGAACCTGTGCTGTAGGAGGGGGCTGAGCTGATGGTTGAGGGTAACTGTGCTGTAGGAGGGGGCTGAGCTGATGGCTGAGGGTAACCTGTGCTGTAGGAGGGGGCTGAGCTAGGGTAACCTGTGCTGTGGAGGGGGGGCTGAGCTGATGGCTGAGGGTAACCTGTGCTGCTGAGCTGATGGCTGGGGGAACCTGTGCTGTAGGAGGGCTGGGCTGAGCTGGCTGAGGGCAACCTGTGCTGTGGAGGGGCTGAGCTGATGGCTGAGGGGTGCTGTAGGGATGGCTGAGCTGGATGGCTGGGAGCTGGAGCTGGGCTGGGGAACCTGTGCTGGGTGGAGGGGGGGGCTGAGCTGATGGCTGGGGTAACTGCTGTAGGAGGGGGGGCTGAGCTGATGGCTGGGGGAACCTGCAGCTGTGGAGGGGGGCTGAGCTGATAGCTGGGGGTAACCTGTGCTGTAGGGGGGGGGCTGAGCTGATGGTTGAGGTAACCTGTGCTGTAGGAGGGGGGCTGAGCTGATGGCTGGGGGGAACCTGTGCTGTAGGAGGGGGGCTGAGCCGATGGCTGGGGGGAACCTGTGCTGTAGGTGAAGGGCTGCGCTGATGGCTGAGGGTAACCTGTGCTGAAGGGGAGCTCTGAGCTGATAGCTGGGGGAGAACCTGTGCTATAGGAGGGGGGCTGAGCTGATGGCTAGGGGGAACCTGTGCTGAAGGGGGGCTCTGAGCTGATAGCTGGGGGAGAACCTGTGCTACAGAAAAAGAGGTTGAGCTGATGGCTGAGGGGTACCTGTGCTGTAGGAGGGGGGCTGAGCTGATAGCTGGGGGGAACCTGTGCTGTAGGAGGGGGGGCTGAGCCGATGGCTGGGGGGAACCTGTGCTGTAGGTGAAGGGCTGCGCTGATGGCTGAGGGTAACTGTAGGAGGGGGGCTGAGGTGATGGCTAGGGGGAACCTGTGCTGAAGGAGCTCTGAGCTGATAGCTGGGGGAGAACCTGTGCTATAGGAGGGGGGCTGAGCTGATGGCGAGGGGGAACCTGTGCTGAAGGGGGGCTCTGAGCTGATAGCTGGGGGAGAACCTGTGCTACAGAAAAAGAGGTTGAGCTGATGGCTGAGGGGTACCTGTGCTGTAGGAGGGGGGCTGAGCTGATAGCTGGGGGTAACCTGTGCTGTAGGAGGGGGGCTGAGCTGATAGCTGGGGGTAACCTGTGCTGTAGGAGGGGGGCTGAGCTGATGGGTGGGGGTAACCTGTGCAGGAGGGGGCTGAGCTGATGGCTGAGGGTAACCTGTGCTGTAGGAGGGGCTGAGCTGATGGCTGGTAGCACCTTGCCTGTAGAGGGGGCTGAGCTGATGGCTGGGGGTAACCTGGGGGGGGCTGAGCTGATGGTGGTAACCTGTGCTGTAGGGGGCTGGAGCCAGGATGGCTGGAGGGGGGGAACCTGTGCTGTAGGAGGGCTGAGCTGATGGTGGTAAACCGCTGCAGGAGGGGGCTGAGCTGATGGCAGGGGGAACCTGTGCTGAGGAGGGGGGCTGAGCATGGCTGAGTGGCTGAGGATGCTGTGCAGGAGGGGGGCTGAGCTGATGGCTGAGGATGAACCCTGCAGGAGGGGGAGCTGATGGCTGCTGGAGGGGGCTGAGCTGACAGGGGGGGGAACCTGTGCTGCAGGAGGGGGCTGAGCTGATGGCTGAGGGGAACCTGTGCTGTAGGAGGGGGCTGAGCTGACAGCTGGGGGTAACCCTGTGCTGTAGGAGGGCTGAGCTGATGGCAGGGGGAACCGTGCTGTAGGAGGGGGGCTGAGCTGATGGCTGGGGGTAACCTGTGCTGTAGGAGGGGGGCTGAGCTGATGCTGGGGGGAACCTGTGCTGTAGGAGGGGGGCTGAGCTGATGGCTGGGCTGTCCATCTGTGTCAGTGCGGAAGTGCCTATCAGCTGGAGCCAGGGCTGCTCTCCTCCCCCTCCCAGCTCAGAGAGAAGGCTGAGCAGTGCTTGCTGGTGCATGTGCTGTATGTGGAAGGAGCTGACAAGTGCACATCCCTGCATGACAAAGGCACAGCTGATGTGGAGCCTCTCTCCTCCTGTCCCCCCCTGGACCACAGGCCCCCTCTCACCATGCTTAGCAATGCAGACCTGGACTGCCTCCACCACATCTCTGTCCTCTGCATGGGTGAGTACCTGGGGACCCCTCTCCCTGAGAGACCCCCTGCTGCTTCCATTACCATTCCTAGAGCAGTGTCTGCCATGCACAGCTGGTAGTGCCATTGCATCAAATCAAGGGTTAAACAGCAGCTGCCAGGTGTGCTATGGTGCCCCCCTTCCTTCCAATATTCCAATGCATGTTCTAGATGCCAGGTGGGCTATGGAAGGTCCCCCCCCCCCCTCCTTCCAATATTCCAATGCGTGTTCTAGCTGCCAGGTGGGCTATGGTGCCCCCCCTCTCCTTCCAAAATCCAAATGCATGTTCTAGGTGCAGGTGGGCTATGGTGGGTCCTCCCCCCCTTCCAATATCCCAATGCATGTTCTAGCTGCCAGGTGGGCTATGGTAGGTCCCTTCTCCCCCCCTCCTTCCAATATCCCAATGCATGTTCTAGCCTAGCTGCCAGGTGGGCTATGGTGCCCCTCCCCCCCTGTTCCAAAATCCAAATGCATGTTCTAGATGCCAGGTGGGCTATGGTGGTGCCCCCTACCAATATCCTAATGCATGTTCCAGCTGCAGTAATTCATCTGCCCTGCTGCCCTGTATATACACCTTCACACTGGGTCCTCACTCTGTATAATGCTGGCTCTGGCACTGAAAGGGGTTAATACAATGATCTCATCTGCAGGTTCCCAGTGTGGCTCCAGGCTCTGTGCTGCCTGCAGTGCTGGGCTCTGTGATTGTATTGTACTGTTTCTTTCTGTCATTTACACTATGCTATAATAGCCATATACACACACCTAGAACAAAGCAGACATGCATTCTGTGCTGATCACATGGAAATGTCTATGGAGCCCTTTAACCTATCATCCAAGGATAAATGGCTGTCTCTCTGTGTTTTTACAATGGGGTGGACTTTGTTATACATCTAATATCAAGGCATGCTTTTTATGTGCTCACTAATCTTGGCAAATGGCTGAATGTGGGTTGTTTTTCATTACTTCTCCCTGGCACTTCAGGGGTTAAAGGTGTCTGTATCCAGATCCATTTGTTGCCCATCTCAGCCAGAACCTCTGTCTTTTGCAGTTTATGTCATGCTTCCTGAGGACACTGGGTGGCTTATTGCAGAATGGGAATTCATTGCACACACTGTTTAACCCCTGCAGTATTAAAACCAGGGATTTTATATAATCACAGACCTGAGCCCGCTGCTGCATCTGGAAGCTTTATCAGCGCTAGCTTTTGTGGCTGGTGGGGATTATTCACTAAATTGTGTATTGATTTGGAGAATTGTAACATTTAGGCCAAGACAGTTGTCAGACCAACACAACTCACTTTTCAGCGAATAAACCCCCATTGGGACTGAAAACGAAATAGTGGATTGTTGGAACTCAAGCCCAGATTGCAAATTATAGGCCAACATAGCTGATTTGGTTCTAGCTGTAGTCACAGCTTGTTTGCTTTAACCTGGATTTTCCATTTCAGTATTCAGTTCCCCATTTTGGGCTTTTTTCACTAAACGCCGAAATTTTGTGAATTGAAAAATGCTCACAGCCTGCCATTGCCTGTTGGATGGCTTGGCCTTTGGGTACCCAAGATGTCCCTAGTTTTCATGAAACCACGCCGATCGTTGTTAGTTTATAATTTAAAAAATAGCAGCACAACAGAAGGTTTTTTTTTTTTTTTTTTTTTTAGCTAATTGTAGACAAATGTTTTTAAAATTCCATTTTGTAACCACGGATAATGTCAAAAGCTGGTACATACATGTATATAATATATATAAACCCAGAAATAAATATGTATTATATTGTTAGTATTCACTATTCTTTGTGAAGGATCAGGCCATACTTTTGATACTATACTAGACTGAATACAGGTCCGAGCGTCAGACTGGGGCCTTGTTGCTCTCCAGGTAGGGAAATACCTTTAAAGGGGAACCATCGCTACCCAGGACTTTTCCCATATATTATACAATGTGTTTTTAATGTGTGAAAAATAAAATTCATTTATAGTAATCCACACATCTTTATCCTACAACTGGGCGCCTCCATCTTGGCTCTTTGTCAGTCATTGTTATAAGGTCTGTCCTTTGCTTGAAGAGAAGAGGAAATATTAAACAATGTTTAGTTTTCTCTCCTCATTTGGGATGTGTGCCCTTGTTGTGTTTGGACTGAACTAGATTGCGATGATATTTGCTAAAAGGTTAACAAAGGCTATAATTGACTTTCCAGTGTTTTATGCAATTGTATCAAAAGTGATAGTTTTCCATTTAGAGTGACACTATAGTCACCAAAACAACTTTAGCTCATTGAAGCCGTTTTGGTGTATAGATCATGCCCCTACCGTCTCACTGCTCAATTCTCTCCAATTTAGGAGTTAAGGCCCTAGTCACAGCTCCCAGCATGTGACTTACACAGCTTTCCTAAACACTTCCTGTAAAGAGTCATCTAATGTTTACATGTTATTGCAAATTCTGTTTAATTTAGAATTTCTTATCTCCTGCTCTGTTAATTGTTAGCTAGACCCTGCAGGAGCCTTCTGTATGTAATTTAAAGGTCAATTTACAGAGCAGGAGATAAAAACTTTTTAAGTCAGTTACATCAGATTGAAAATGAAACCTATTTGTTTTCATGCAGGCTGTGTCAGTCACAGCCAGGGGAGGTCTAACTAGGTCTGCAGAAACAAAGTGACTTAACTTCTTAATGGCAGATAATTGAGCAGTGAGACTGCAGAGGCATGATCTATACTCAAAAACGGCTTCATTAAGCTAAAGTTGGTTTGGTGACTATAGTGTCCCTTTAAATATTTTTTTCTGGAAGTAGACGGTATAGAAGGTTTGGTTAATATGATGCTTTGAGTGAGTTGTCTATACAGAACCATCACTTCCCTGGAATAATCATTGATTAAAACACCGTAAATCACCAATAAATTGGGTTAACTTTTGAGATCCTGTTTTTGTTTAAATTTATTTTAGATAAAATTTCAATTACATTGTAATCCAGTTCAGACAAGGCAAACCTTTTTAAATGAAGAGGATAATAGAAACGTTGATTAGTCTCTCACTTTCACTATGCAATCTGCAAAGGACAGACCTTATAACAATGATTGACAGGGAGCTAAGATAGAGAGGCGCCTAGTGCCGGGAGAAAGAGGTGTGGATTTGCTTTTTCACACCTCACAAATACATATTTTGTTAAATATAGGGATCAGTAAACATGGTATTAAAAATCCCAGAAAGGGACAGTTCCCCTTTAAAGATCATTTGGGGACATTTAAGGGCACTGGGAGTTTACATAGACCACAATGTTAGAATCAGAGAAAATGTTTATACCAAAAGCTAAAAGGCTTCTGCGAATGTGAGAACTGTACAGATAATTGCATTGCAATGGAGATAATGAAGCAACATAATGGCAAATGATTATTCTAGTAGTTCTGTAATTAATAACTTTTACAGACAATTTAAATGGTTATTCCAAGCATCACCTCTACATCCTGCTGTTGTGGTTATGAGATGCCCGAAGTACCCTACCACAGTTCCCCGGTAATGGAGTCAAACAGTTTTGGCAACAGTTTGGCTCTTAACTGGGTCCTGCTGAGCGCCAAGGCTCCTATACTCCTTCCTGAATGATCCTGCCGGCCATTCTTTGGCTGATCACTCTTGGCCAATTAATAAAAATATGTGCATAAAATATAGCCAAATAAAAAATTCTTGCTCCATGCTTGCTAATGATCCCCCAACGATGATGCTGGAAGATGAGTTAGACCTCTGGCAGCTAATGGGGTTAAACGTTGTACATACAGACTCCATGCACCATGACCACTTCAAATTACTGAAGCGACCATGGTTCTTGTAGTAACCCTTAAAAAGAGTTTATTCATTTAACTGGCACATGTGATGAATTGAAATAAGAATTGCACAAATGGAAACCACGAATAGCTGAACTGGGGGGGAAAAATTCTAATCTGCCAATTATTTTTTCAAACTTTCAATTCACTGTACAGTGAATAAATAAGGCTTTGTGATTGTGTGATAGGTTCAGCGGCCACAGTTCACATGGCGTGACACCATCAGTTACTGTTACCTGTCTGCAAATGTTCAGCTTTTAACGCAGGCTCGCAATGTGAGTTGTTATACTGTGTGTCTTTGCTGTAGCGAGTTATCATGTTCATGTCTGGCACGTTGAAGGCCCTTGGTTGTATATCATTGTAAATAACAGTTTAATTCTCAGTTGCTTTACTATGAAGCCCTCTGCAGAGCTTGCTGTGCCTGTTCGCAGACGCACAGCCCTTCGCTGACTTACAAGCCATCTGCCTTTAGTGCTGAGCGATGACATCATCTGTAAACCAGTGAGTGAAGGGGCTCTTAAAGGGGCCGACGCAGCTTTTAACATGGAACCATTGCTGGATTTAAGAGGTTTAGCGGAGTGATGCTATTACCGTTAATCCTGTGAAAAGTGTTTAGCTTTGACTGGGGAATGGCATTGAAATGTATGAAGTAGTGATGGTTAGGCCTGTCCTTTGAAAAGAGACCATCATCTCGCATTGCAAACATTGATAAGAGTCCGGAGACTTAGAGAATCTATCCTTTGAATTCCAACATTTAAATTGGGTTTTAAATAAAGTTGGGTGAAAAAAGGGGTCTGAAATAGCATTGATCCCATTTATCTAAGTGCTATTCACTAATCGGATCTTCAAATTCTGGTGTTTAGGGTCTGTCTCTGTTGCAGAAGCTGCCGCAGAGGTCTATGGGATAAGTAAGAGTAATTCCACTCATCCCATGTGATAATTGACGCGCTCTATAAGCTGATAATATTGATAGCAGACTTACGGTGACTGCTATAAGTTTATCCTCCGCCCAATTGGCGTTTTTTTGAACTGCATCAATTAATAAAGCCGCGGCCCATGGTTCAGGGCACTGTCTGAGTTGTAGGTGTGGTGCCTAGTTAATGTTGGTCAGTTAGAACGGAGGGTTCCTGCTGAATGATTAACAGCTTTGAGGGACAGGCTCAGAGCTGTGTGACCATTACCTTTACAATCATGCAAAGTAGTGATGGTGCTTTAATAATGTAACTTTTTGGGCTGGATTCAGAAATGCTCAGAATACTTGCATCACAGGAGTGAGCCTCTTTAAAGGAAAAAAAATGACACAATACGTATAAAATTAAATACATCAATGCTGCTTAAGGACACATGACGTGTGACATGTCATGATTCCCTTTTATTCCAGTTTGGTCCTTAAGGGGTTAAAAATAAATAGTTAACACTTTATTGAACAAGCATCAAAAGAATCCAAAAATTTAATTAATTTAGTGAATCGGACCCTTTTTTTTGTGTGTTTTATTTATGAAAATTGTTCCTGGCTTTATATCTGGGTCAGTTCTTTGCCTGGTGAACCGTTCTTACATCAGTAAGGTTCTTACATAGTAAGAATTATATTTATTCTAATACTACAGAATAGATACAATTTTATTTTTTATATATATATATATATAATATAATATTGTATTTATTCTGCAGTATTAGAATAAATATATATTATATATTTTTATTTATATATATATATATATATATATATATATATATATATATATATATATATATATATATATATATATATATATATATATATATATAGATTTTTCTTTTAAAGGCGGTATAGATGGTACGTTATAGCACCATGAGCTGTAATTCATTCTGGTTGTAGTGAGCGCTTTTAGAAATGTATCGATAAGATAGCAGCGGGTTTAGAAGCTAGCCCCATACTGCTGTACCGAACACTGCTAGTTAGCATGACCCAGTGGGATTTATTAATGCAGATTGCATAATTGTCTGCAAGAACAAGACCTATCTTTACATGGTGACGAACCTTGTGTAATGGCACCAGGCTTAGAAACCTAGGAGATTATCACTGTTTATTGTGCGTCTTAAAAAAAGCACAGATCATTATGTATTTTGTGTTTCCCTTATTGGGTGCTGTGGATAGCTTGTTAGTTGGTGAATCAATAGCTGATCTTATCTGTAACTTGCCCATGAATGTTTAACCCCTTAAGGACCCAACATCTGGAATAAAAGGGTATCATGACATGTCATACATGTCATGTGTCCTTAAGGAGTTAATGCTCCTATAACATACAAAGACATTACAATCTTCTGAGTTTGGACTAAAAAAGTAAAGTCAATTTGTAATGGCATAACCTGCAATCATAATTGCAGCAGGTGTATGTTGCCTTTGACAACCCTACACAGCCTTTGACACATTAAAGATTGACTTAAAGGACCACTATAGTGCCAGGAAAACATACTTGTTTTCCTGGCACTATAGTGCCCTGAGGGTGCCCCCACTCTCAGGGCCCCCCTCCCGCCGGGCTGGATGGAGAGGAAGGGGTTAAACTTACCTCTTTCTCCAGTGCCAGGCGGGGAGCTCTCCGCCTCCTCTCCTCCTGTTCAGCTGAATGCGCATGTGCGTCAGGAGCCGCGCGCGCGTTCAGCCAGTCCATAGGAAAGCATTCTCAATGCTTTCCTATGGACGCTGGCGGCTTCTCACTGTGATTTTCACAGTGAGAAACGCGGAAGCCCTCTAGCGGCTGTCAGTGAGACAGCCACTAGAGGCTGAATTAACCCTAACATAAACATAGCAGTTTCTCTGAAACTGCTATGTTTATAGAAAAATGGGTTAACCCTAGATGGACCAGGCACCCAGACCACTTCATTAAGCTGAAGTGGTCTGGGTGCCTATAGTGGTCCTTTAAGAGACTGGATCTCAGCGTCATGGCCTATACGTACCTGTCTAGATTCAGTGTTAAAGGGACTCCATAGGCATTATAATAATTTCATCGCATTGATTTGCTTATAGTGCCTGGAATCCTCTGGCAATGTCTCTGTTCGATGTTAATCCATTTTCAAGCGGCTTAACACAGAATGAAGGTCCCTGGCTGCACACATCCTGGCCCCCACTGGTGGTAGGGCTATGGCAGAGCTTACAACTTCCTTCTAGCCATACCAATTTATACCAGCAATGGGAAGCTGTGATAGACTAAATGTGGTCAGCTGACACTCACAGCCAATCACATCTGCCCAGTGTTGCTCAGGCTAATGCTTCCTCATAACCCCAAACAGGACAGAGGAGATGGGGCTGCTTAGTTCATTTGGCATTAAAAATGGCTTAACTTTGAAAGTAAGGACCGCACCAGGGAACTCCAGACACTATAACTACTTCAATGAGATGAAGCAGTTACAGTGCCTACAGTGCCCCTTTCAATAAGGTGTATGTATCTATCATGTTTTATGGCCAACAACATTGTCGGCATGAAATGTGAGTCCTGCATGCTGGGCCGCAGTTTTTCCATATCAAGTTAAGCTCTGCCTGTAGCACAAGTGGTATAGGTTCAAGGTGGCTAAGGTGTAGTAAATATCTGGATGGCGAACCACATCAGAAATGTAGAATGTACTACAGGGTCCATGTTAAAAGATGGAAGGAATGATCTGGGATCCTCCAGACTGGAACTGAATAAGTAGGACAAGCTGTAGGCTGTAATGCTCTGTTTCTGGTGAAGCATTGCCCCGTGGTAGGGGAATAAAATTCCTTAAGAAGACACTTGAGTTGAAGTTGGCCACTCTAGACTGCATTGCACTGGACTGTTTTAGCCTAACAACTGTCTCTTTCCTCCGTTATATATGTACATGAAACAATGGCTAAGCAATGAGCAAATGGCCCAATACACGTATACAAAGAACCTGGCACCAAATTCGCATCTGTACATGTAAACAACAAAGGAGATTCTGTCTTTGCAAAACCATTACAAAATGTGTGCGTAAACAAATCCACGGTACGACTGCGTAGGCGCAAGCATTGGCAAGGCAAGATGCTGTGGGAGGCAGGTGGGAGCCATCCAGTGAAGCTGCCCCAAGAAAGACAAAACAAGGACTGAAAATGCACAAACTGTTCTGAGATGTGCAATAATCATGGTACACTTTTTTTAAGAATAAAGATGTGTCTACCCAACCCAGAGCCACATGGCCACTAAATCCAAAACATGTTCAGCAATGATGCCAAGATGTGCACCATGCCCAGATACAGTGAGTTAATGGAACTAAAGCGGCTGCTGGGTCATTATATCTAGAAGAGTTTCCTGTAATTAGATGCCCAGTTACCAAACCTTGAGCTCAATCTGGTTGCCAGTAGAGGTTGCCAGCATTGTGCCACCTCTCTTTGCCCTGGGCTACATTTTGCATGCCAGATCCGTCATTTCGTCTCCTAAAATAACATCTAGAAAGCCTAAAGAAAAGAATGTATGAGCAGATTGTTCTTGAAACATGTTATATCTCCTGTATTTTGTGTCTCTCCCTGATATAACCTAATTGCATGATATGTGGTAGTTAAATGGTTAAGCACAAAAATAATGAAGTATTGGAGATACCACATCTATACCTAGGAGACAGTTCTCAAGGCAAATGTACTTAGCGGGAATCAAATGGAAGAGGAGTACAGGGAGGTGAAATCCTCCACTTCCCGGATAATGAATGGAATTACACGTTCTAGATCTTATTGTAATCCTGACAATGTTTTAAAGTGAACTGTTAGGCTGATTATGTGTGGACGATTGCCGTAGTGAGCATAGTATTTTACAATTCCTGTGAATTATTGTGAAATATTTTGAAATGTACAAAAATAATATTTTCAAGAATTAAATGCCACAAATGTGATAATAAACCTTGTAGTTATAATTTATAGTCTGTATGGACATTGTTCTAAATTCTGCTCAAATACAAAAGCATCAGCAGACGGATTGTAGTTGGAGGGAGATAAAGTGTCACAATCTGAAAAATGGTGCAAAATTCTACAAATCTAGTGTCAACCAATATTACAAACACCCCAATTAAATAGAAAACAAGACATTGTTTTTATACACAATCACCAGTTTTATACGTCAATTTGAAATGTCCCTACTATACTTAACAGTTTTAATCTAGACTTTGCATTCTAGTCTGGGTCTATTTACTAAACTGTGACTTGTCAATTGGATTTCCAATTTTAGACCAAAAGAGATGAACTCCGAGCCAGCCATGTCTATCGTTGGGCTCTTTTCTAAATCTTAAAATTTACCTTGAATTCCTGACAATTCACACTGTATTGAATAACCAGAAAGTTCGGAAAGAATTACTATCTATTGCATGCCCTGAGACGGCCTAAACATGATGTGCATTTTACTTTGATGATTTCTGAAATCTTTGATGTTATCGTGTTTGCACCTGGCTCCCCTTGTTCTCAATTAGCTTGTTTTTTTGCCTTGCGGTTTCCTTTTTTCTATGTAAATTTGAGGGGTTTCCTCCAAAAAGCCTTGCAGCTGTTTCCTCCCTTGCAGGTGGGCTTGCATCGTGTTCCATTAAGCAAGCCCCCTTAGGCATAATGGATGAGATCCCTCTCGAATTATTGAAGTATTTTGGCAAGTGCTTTCTTCTTGGCAATGTTCTTAAGTCAATATTGAGACAGGCCTTCACTTCTCCGATCTTCGAGTTTGTGTCGCTGTGTGGTTAGATAATTACACCCATTCATGAAAAAAATCCCACCTTGTTTCTTGGCAAAACAGAAGGAAAAACAAAATGTTTAGAGGCTATGCGCAAAGATGATCCTGGGATATTTTCAAGATTAATCCTGTTGTGATTTGCTTGCAAAAAAATAGATGAAAAAAGAGGTTGTTTTTTTTCAAGCGGCGTGGGCGATTGCCTACGATTTTAGGAAAAGAGATTCTACCTCTCAAATATATTTATAATGCCTGGGGCTCTTTAAATAAATACTCCAGGCCAAGCATGTCAAACTCAGTCTAGCACAGGCCAAATAAACAAGGTTTATGCTTATGTGAGCCTCAAAAAAAACTTACATTTTCATAGAAACATAGGTTTATTTTGAAAAGTACAGTATAAAAAAAAGACCAGCACCCCCCACCTCTACTAAATCCCAGTCCCCCCCGATCTACTTAATCCGCACCCCCCTCTAGC